TTTATGGAAAGTCCTTCTGACCCTGCAGCACATTCTTCTAAAGAACCTTCTTGATTGGAAAAGTCCTGTGCTTTGAGGATGAAATTGAATGTGTGGGAACAGCCAAAGTTCACTGGGTGCCACAGCTGCAGAGTACGGAAGACCAAGCTAAGGGACGCCATCAGAGATGGCGGGCCAGACATGGCTCTCACAGAGACTGGCCCAAAAGGACAGCGACACTGTCAGGGTCATGGCAGCTTTCATGGAGGAACCCAGAGGATAAGTGGCCCAAAGTCACTCACTGGCTGTGCAGCCTTGGCAAGTCGCTTCACCTCTCTGAGGCTCAGTCTTCTCAGCGAGCCTCTGGCCGAGAGGCAGAAAACGATAGTGGTTAGGACGATCAGCTTTCAAATCAGGCAACTGAGTCCTTGGGCCTGCCACATCCTGCATAGTTTGGGGTAAAGTCTCCAATTTATTTGTGACTGTTTCCACACCTCCAAAATGAAGGGAAGAGTTCCTACGAAACAGGGTTATTGGGACAATTACTAGTAAATGAACTGGCATAGGGAAAGGATTTTGAACGTCGCTAAGCATATAGCAAGCACTCAGTAAACTTAGCTGTTGATTTTCTTACCTGAGAGGGAAGGATGAGAATTAAAGGAGACAGTATGTATGAAAGGTGTCACATTTAATTTGGCTTAGAGGATCAGCTGAGAAAATGGTGTTATTCTGGCTATCTAATACTGAATAACAAACCATTCCAAAACGCAGTGGCGTTAAATAACAACAATCAATTACTTTGCTCACAAATCTGCAATTTAGGGCTTAGCGGGGTTTGCTCATCTCTGTTCTGTGCGGCATCAGCGTGGGAGGTTAGAACGGGCTGGAGGATTCACTTCCAAGAAGGCTCACTCCCCCGGGTAGCAAGTTGGTGCGAGCTAACGGCCAAGAGTTCAGCTGGGGCTCCAGGCCCGTGGCCTCCATTATCTCTATGCCCCCACCGAGAAGTAGATCTTCAAAGCGGGAAAGAGGAACCCCTCCAAACTGGACACATCCTCCTTACTGTCTGGGTCAAGTGCCTACTCCACATCCCTAGCTCCCACCTTCGGAGCTGGGCAGGGAGCCCAGAGTTGTATCCAGGGGCCGTAAGTCAGATGGTGAAGCACACAGGCTAAGTTCCCTCAGCCTTAGGCACCTCATCTAGAGAATGGGCACGATAAGCCCTACATCATGAAGTCATTCTGAGGATTAACTGAGGTCACACGTAAGTACAGTGGAAGCAAATTAACAAGCAATCAGGTTCCCTTTTTAAAAAAATATTTTTATTGATTTTTAAAGAGAGAGGAAGGGGGAGGGAGAGAGAGAGAGAAATTATTTTTCTCTTTATTTTATTTTTTTTACAATATACTAGAAAGTCTATTATCAGATTGTAGATAGAAAATAATTAGTCGTTTACATGTAATAAACATTAATATTTCAAGAAAAATGATTTTAAATATAACATTACATGCAATAAGCATTAATATTTCAAGGAAAACTATGTTAAAATAATAATGTTACATGCAATAAACATTAATATTTCAAGAAAAATGATTTTAAATATAATATTATGTGTAATAAACATTAATATTTCAAGAAAAAGGATTTTAAATATAATAATATTACCTAAACTCTACTAACATAGTATAATATCACAGAAGTTGTAGGAGATATTAAAAATCTGCAAATAACAGGACTATACTTCTATTATATTCTGGTCAGGGCACATGCTCAGGATGTGAAAATATTTTTCTCTGGCTCTATTTTTGTTCATTATATTCCACAGATGAGTGAAATCATGTGATATTTGTCTTTCTCTGACTGGCTTATTTAGCTTAGCATAATGTTCCCCACTTCCATCCACGCTGTTGCAAATGGTAAGAATTCCTTCTTTTTTACAGCAGCGTAGTATTCCATTGTGTAGATGTACCACAGTTTTTTAATCCACTCATCTGCTGATGGGCACTTAGGCTGATTCCAAATCTTAGCTATTGTAGATTGTGCTGCTATGAACATAGGGGTGCATATATCCTTTCGGATTGTTGTTTCTGATTTCTTGGGATATATTCCTAGAAGTGGGATCACTGGGTCAAATGGGAGTTCCATTTTTAGTTTTTTGAGGAAATTCCATACTGTTCTCCACAGTGGCTGCACGAGTCTGCATTCCCACCAGCAGTGCACGAGGGTTCCTTTTTCTCCACATCCTCTCCAGCACTTGTCGTTTGTTGATTTGTTGATGATAGCCATTCTGACAGGTGTGAGATGGTACCTCATTGTCATTTTGATTTGCATCTCTCAGGTGATCAGTAACCTTGAGCATGCTTTCCTATGGAAAGAGAGAAATATTGACCCGCTGCCTCCTGCATGCCCCCTACCAGGGATTGAGCCCACATCCTGGGCATGTGCCCTGACCAGGAATTGAACTGGTAACGTTTTGGTGCATGGGACGGCACCCAACCAATTGAGCCACACTGGCCAGGGCAGGTTCCCTTTTTTCAATGTGGCATCTTCTGTGATCTCTTTTTCCCCAGTTCCCCACCCTACAAAGTTGTGGGAATGGGCAGGGGTCAGGAGGCTTTAAATAACCAATGTAGAGTATGCTTATCTAAAATGGAAATATATATATATTCATATTCGAGACTAGAAGGAAATATGCCCAAATTATTTTAACAGTTAACAGTGGTTGACCCTAAAGAATGGGATTATAGGTGTTTTTTTCTTACTGCATCTTTATCACTTTTTTAAATCTGATCGGTTTCTGTGTGACCTCTATATTAAAGACATACATGTATAATGAATAAGTATATGATAGCACCCTTCCCACCCACCCCCACACATACTCCCACGCCCGTCTCTGTACAGCACAGGCTTTCTACAAGGTGATGCTGTCAAGGGTTGGCCCAGACAATTCTTCCTGGAGCTGACGTAAAGCACTCATTACAGGACATTTAGCTTCCCTGCCCCTCGCCCACGTAAGTGCCAGCAGCACTCCCAGGGGCAACCAGGAACGCCTCCACATTATGCAGGAAAAAGCTCTTATTTTTCAGAGATGCATTTGGGGTGAAATGTCAGGATGTCTGTAATTTACTTTAAACTACTTCCGAAAAAATTAGATGAAACAATTATGCTCAAAGGAGAAAACATTAACAACTGAGAGATCTAGGTGGTGGATATATGTGTTCAATTATTCGTCTCACTTTTCTGTTTGAAAATTTTCATAATAAAAAAGTGGGAGGGAATGCCCCATTATTTCCAAATGGCCCCTATTAGACTCTTATCCTTCATTGAGAAACGACATCTTCATTTTGTATCAGCTTTATTTTCATAAATGTTGTGTCTGATTATCAATTTAAAACCCCTACAGGGACTGCTTTTTTCTTTTTTTAAAATATATTTGCTCCTTGGCATCCTCCTTCAGAAGATGATCTCTGGATGTAGGGGAATGTCCTCGTGGCAGTGGGAAGAGGTGGCCATCCTACTTTGGGTCCTTGCTGGTGTCACAAGGTGTCCCTTGCCCTGCCTGGTCAGTGGCATCTATATGGCATGAGTTCCTAAAGTCTCGCCGGCACTGACTCACCTCTCTCCTGGCACCCGAGCCCCTCTGAATCTCAGCTGCATCCTCCATGCAGCCTGTTCAGGCGGGTGCCTACTGCTCCGCAGGCTCACTGTCTCGCATACATCCCAGCAGTCTCCCCGATTCCTTGCTGGGTGCGCATAGGATCCTTCCCAGTCTGAGATGCACCATAACACAGGTGACAAAACAGGGATGGGATAAGGTGCCGTAACGGGGGAGCCCAAGCATCCACCATACCTTACAAGGATACGGCACTTTACAGAGTCCAGGCGCGCTCTCCTTTCAATAGCAAAGCCTTCCCGAGTGCCTCCTCCGGCCCAGGCACTGTGCTCAGGGCCTGGGCCCGCCAGCCCACCACACACGCCACGCGCTGGTATGTGAGAGGGTGAACAAATCACAACACAAGGGAATATCAAGCAATGTCAAAAAAGTAAAATGCATCAATAGGTTCTGATAAGGAAAGATATCCAAGATATGTTGTTAAATAAAAAGGCAAGTTTCAATATAATAGGTGGGATAGAGTATGATCCCTTTTCTATGGAAAAAAAAAAGAATTGAAAGCAACACTCTTCTATCTGCATTAAATAATACTGGCGCCAAGTAATTATCTACCTGCTTGCCCTGGGAAATGCCTGCTGTTAAGATAAGATGGAACCAGTGACACACTTTACTTATTAAAACAGAAAACTTGCTCATCTAGACTCACTTCAAGGCGCTTACCCTTCTGGACCCACCAATCCAAAGCTCTTATGTCATAAGTTCTGCCCAATCCCAACCAGTTACCTGCCTTATATGACCCACCTTAGAACAGTGCAGCCTTTAAAACCCCATATCCTTTCTTAATGAAGTGTCTTCACTTGGAAATACTACTCAGACTTTTCCGGGTGCCGTTCTCCCTTTCTGAAATAAGCTTAGCTTTGCTCAATCGGTATGTTTCCTGCTTGCTTTTTAGGGCAGGGGTCGGGAACATCTGACCCCTGGGCAGTATAAGGCCTGTGAAATCATGTGGTCTGGCCCTGCCAAAGCATTACGGGTGAGTTAATTAAATGAATGACCAAATATAGCAGGCTAATTTTTAGGTTGATAATTTTGTATGGCCCTCAAATTATGTTATAAATATCCAAATGGCCCTTGGCAAAAAAAAAATTTCCCCACCTCTATTTTAGGAAATCAATGATCAATAACAATAATAATTTAATACCTGCTGGGCACTGAGCTGATTGCTTTATACCCCAATCCTACTCTCTGAGAGGTTTCTTTTCCCTCTGAGAGTTTTAATATCATTGTTCCCATTTTACAGATGAAGAAACTGAGGATTAGAATGTGAACAACTCGCCAAATATTACACAGGGAATAAGACAGAGACTACATTCAATCCCAAGAAGTCTGACGCCTGAGCTTGAGGGTTTAACTCCCTAATACTGCCTCTGTTCTGCTTATTATGGCTATATAACAAGTTTTTCAAAATCCCAGTGGCTTTAATAAAATAAAATAAAAACAGTTATTTTGCTCATGAATCTTCGATTCAGGCAGGGCTTTGTGAGGATACTAGTAATTGTCTGCTCCAGTGGAGGTCACTCGGATGCTGGAAGCCGGAATCATCTGGAAGCTCATTTTTTCGCTTACCTGGCAGTTAACACTGTCAGCTGGGACCTCAGCTGGGCAATCAGCCGGAGCACTTGCACGCGGCCTCTTCATGTGACCTGGGTTTCCTCATAACGTGAGCATCCCAAGAAAGAGAGATTTCTGGGCAGAGCCATATTGCCTTTGATGACCTAGTTTTGAAGTCATGCAGCATCACTTTGCCACATTCTCCCTGTCCAAGCAATCACAAAGCCCTCCCCAGGTTCAAGGGGAGGAAAAATAGACTCACCTTGTGATGGGGCGTGGCAATATCAAGAAGACCATGGGAGACCAGAAATATTGCTGTGGTCATTTTTGGAATTGCAGTCTTCTACAGGCCCATATTCAGCGTGCTTGTATATACAGTAAAATCGGAAATATTTCAGAACAGGTAGTTAACTATGGGTATTTCTGGGGCTAACAGGGGGCCTTTTATTTTCTACTAGAGGCCCGGTGTACAAAAATCTGTGCACTCGGGAGGAAGAGGGGGTCCCTCAGCCCGGCCTGTGCCCTCTCGCAGTCTGGGACCCCTCGGGAGATAACGACCTGCTGGCTTAGGCCTGCTCCCGGGTGGCAGAGGGCAGGCCCAATCCCTAGGTGCAGCCCCTGGTCGGGCCCAGAGCAGGGCCGATTGAGGAGTTGGGGTGCCGCCCCCTGTCATGCACAGAGCAGGGCGGATTGGGAGGTTGCGATGCCACCCTCAGTCATGCTCAGGGTAGGGCCGATTGGGGGGGTGGGGCACCGCCCCCTGTCATACTCAAGGCAGGGTCGATAGGGAGGTTGCGGCGCCACCCCCTGTCACGCACAGAGCAGGGCCCATCAGGGGGGTTGGGGCTCCTTACCCTGTCACACACAGAGCAGGGCCAATCAGGGGGTTGAGGAGCTCCCCCCTGTCATGCACAGAGCAGGGCCAATAGGGGAGTTGGGGCACTGCCCCCTGTCACACACAGAGCAGGGCGGATCAGGGGGTTGGGGTGCCGCCACTGTCACACTCAGAGCCGCAGGGCGATCGGGGGGTGGGGATCTCCCCCCTGTCACGCACAGAGCAGGGCGGATAGGGAGGTTGTGGCCCCGCCCCCTGTCACACACAGAGCCGCAGAGAGATCAGGGGGTTTGGTCGCTGCCCCCTGTCACGCTGATCCCGGTGCTGGGAGGCATATTACCCTTTTACTATATAGGATAGAAGCCTGGTGCACGGGTGGGGGCCGACTGGTTTGCCCTGAAGGGTGTCCTGGATCAGGGTGGGGGTCCTGCTTGGGTGCCTGGCCAGCCTGGGTGAGGGGATGATGGCTGTTTGCATCTGGTCACACCCCCTTCAGGGTGGGGGTCCCGCTTGGGTGCCTGGCCAGCCTGGGTGAGGGGATGATGGCTGTTTGCATCCGGTCACACCCCCTTTAGGGTGGGGGTCCCCACTGGGGTGCCTGGCCAGCCTGGGTGAGGGGCTGAGGGCCGTTTTCAGGTTGGCGCGTGACTGAAGCTCCCAACCTGTCCTTTTTTCCTTTTTTTTTTTTATTCTGGGCCAGCTTTAGCTCTGAGGCTGGGCTCCAGCTATGAGACCTCCGCTGCTGAAAGCAGGTTTCTGGCCTTTGTTTACCTTGTATTTGAAACAATGTTGCGGTCCTGCTGGCTGAAGCCTGGGGTTTTGTTTAGTGTCTATATTTGTTACAATGTTGCTTACAGTGCAGCTGAGAGGCCGGCAAGGCAGGCGGGGAAGCTTGGCTTCCTCCGTCACTGAAGCAAGCAAGCCTCCCTGTTCACGTCAGCTGCCTGGCTGCCGGCCGCCATCTTGGCTGGCAGTTAATTTGCATATCGCCCTGATTAGCCAATGGGAAGGGTAGCAGTCATATGCTAATTACCATGTTTCTCTTTTATTAGGATGATGTTTGCATTTTTGTAATGAATGTTTAAAACACTATGGCAACATTATTTTTTAAAGATTTAGCATCCATTCTGAAGAAGCTTATGCTAAAGGTGTTATGCTGTCCGTTACCTATTTCTTCTCCTTCATTCATTTCTGCTTCTTGATGCTCTACTTTGTTCCTCTGGAAGCTGAACTCTACAAACTGTATCACCTGGACTCCTTTGCCCTCTGACTTCTGGTTGGGTTGATCCAATGAGAGCTGAAGGAAATCAGAGAGTGAGAAGAGGCAGGTTGGGGTGTTTATTCTCCCTTCCCCACCTGCCCATGGGTCTCCCTGGGTCCCAGTAACACTTCCTTCATCTCTATGCTTCAGACTCAAGAGTGATATCAATGCCTCTGTGGTTATTCCCTGGGGTGCCTCCTCATCCCCTATGGGTTCCCTTAATCCTATCTATTCCTCTGTTATTGTCTCTTCCTTACACTTTCTTTAATTAAGCCCTTTAAGTGTGCCCTCTGTTCCCTACCAAGTCCCTGAATGATCCAGGAAGGCACTGATGCAGACAGACATGCAAACAATGACATTACAGTGTGCTGATTGCTTTAAGAGGCATGTATAGGAAAAGAATAGTTAGGTTGTGTGTGTGTGTGTGTGTGTGTGTGTGTGTGTGTGTGTGTGTGTTTTATAAAAATATATAATTTTTTATTGACTTCAGAGAGGAAGGGAGAGGAAGAGAGAACTAGAAACATCAATGAGGAGAGAGAATCATTGATCAGCTGCCTCCTGCACACCCACATTAGGGACTGAGCCCACACCGAGGCATGTGCCCTGACTGTGGCCTCCTGATTCACAGGTCAGCGCTCAACTGAGCCATGCCGGCCGGGCGCTAGGTTTTTTTGAAAGAGTCAGGAAAGCCTTCCCAAAGAAAGTGACACTTAAATTGGACAAGAAAGATGAGTCAATATGTAATACTCTTGGTAATACTTTAAGCAATAAAACAATTTAAAAAAAAAAAGAAAAGAAAGATGAGTCAGCGTTCCCCCTGTTTGTGAAAAAGAGAACAAGTTTCTAACCCTGTGAGGTTTCCATAGATAAGGAAATAGGCCCACAGAGGTTAGGTGACTTACCCATGGCCACACAGGGAGTAGCATAGATTCAAGCCTTCTGCTTACTCCATCACACTACAAGGAAAGTTTGTCCGTTCAGATGCTTTTGGCTGTAAGTAACCAGAAAAAAAAAAAAATTGTTTAACAGTAAGGAAAATGTATTACATAATGATTGTATGTAATATTGTAATTTAATATCAAGACCACGGTCAGGCAACTCCAGGGTTGATTAAATTAAATCAGATATTCAACAAAGTCATCAAGAAGAAGATCTAAATAAATGGAGAACTAAACTCTGAATTGAAAGACTCAGTATTGTTGTCAATCCTCCTCAAATTGACTTATAGATTTAATGCAATTGCAATCAACTTCTTACAAGGTTTATGTGTGGGAATTATCTAGCTAATTCTAAAATTTACATGGAAATACAAAATCTTAGAGCAGCCTAGACAATCTTGGAGAACACACACTACCAGATACCAGTGTTTAATGTAAAGCTATAATAATTAAGCCAAAGTACTACTGACACAAGGCTAGACAAAGACCAATGGAACAGAATAGAGTTCAGAAATTGACCCAAACATGTATGTTCATTTGATTTACAAAAAGGGTGCTACTGCAATTCAGTTGTGCTGGAGAAACTGGATATCCATACAGAGGATATCTGTATGGGGAAAGATGAATTTTTACTTCATATTACATTAATAAAAATTAATGTAATATGAATTATAGACCTGATGCAAAAGTTAAAAAGAATCTGTCTACTAAAAAACATAGAAAAGTATCTTCATGATCAATATCTCAAATTGAATGCAAAAAACACTACACTGAAAGAATTGATGATTTGGACTTTCTTAAATATAAGAACTTAGGCTCCTCAAAAGACATTACTAAGCAAATGAAGAAGCAATCTACAGACTGGGAGAAGATATTTGCATTTCATATATCTGACAATGGACTTATATCCAGAACATAAAGGAACTCCTACAAGTCAATAAGTAAAAGACAAAACAATCCACGTTTAAAAAGGGAAAAAGACTTGAACAGGCCAGGCACCTGTTAGAAGAGGAAATGACCAAAAATCACTTGAAAAGATTATCTGAAGAAAGCAAACAAAAACTACAATAAGATACCACTACTTCTTGGAATCTATCCAAAGAAGCCCCAAACACTAATTCAAAAGAATATATGTCCCCTATGTTCATTGCGGTGCTATTTACAACTAGTGGCCTGGTGCATGGATTCATGCACATTGAAAGGAAATTAATTAGAAGAAATATTTTAACATTGCTATTCACCCTTTCTCTCTAATAGAAGTGTCAGAGATGAAAGAAAATTAGTAAAATGTATAGGAAAATAATATATAAATTTATTAATAAATAAATAACAACATGATACAACAATAACAAAGACATGATATGAAAACAACAAAAACATGATATAAAAACAACAAAAACATGATACAAAAACAACATTGATAAAAACAATGACTGATAAATTGATTAAACTTATTCTAATATCTCCCTGTATACCACATTAAGAGTAAAAACACTTTCAGAGTGCTTGACTAATTTCCCTTGTGATAAAGTATTTACAATTTTAACTTTAACATCACACGCTCTTTGAACTCGAGAGAAAGCAATATATAACTGACCATGTCTGAAAATGGGTTCAGGTAGGAATATTCCTACTCTGTCTAGAGTTTGTCCTTGTGATTTATTAATAGTTATCGCAAATGCTGGCATCATGGGAAACTGTCTTCGAATTAATTTAAATGGGAGGCCAATGTCAGACAGGGACAAATCAATTCCTGGAATCAGAACTACCGCTCCTTCCGCAGATCCTGTTAATACTTCAGCTTCGATTATGTTAGGTCGCAATCTTGTGATAATAAATCTAGTACCATTGCAAACACCCCATTTACTATTAAGATTTCTCAGTAGCATGATGATTGCACCCACTTTCAATTTTAATTTATGACATAGCATTCCCAAAGGAGTAATACTCTTAAGAAACTCAATGGGAAAATTTCCCTTTTCGGCATCAACTGTTGAGTCAATGGAATCATCACTCAAATAGGTGTGAAAATTGCTGCTTTCAGCTTCAGAATGTCAACAAAAACAACCAAATTCACACTCAACAATGACAGATCAAAACACATGCGTGCGATCGGTGCCAGCGAGAGCTTTATATGTATTGTGCATGCTCGAATGAATGTTTATTTTTAAATTGCCAGTGCACGTCATATGTACTGGCCGGCCGACTGGTCAGATGGTCAGATGGATGGTCAGAGGTACATACGGTTGGTCACTTAGCCTTTTACATGTGCCAGTGAGACCTTTATATGTATCGTACCTGTGGGAGTCAACGTTTATTTTTAAATTGCCAGTGCGCATCATATGTACCGGCCTGCCGGTCGGTCAGATGGTTGGACAGATGTATGGTCAGTCACTTAGCCTTTTTTTACATATAAATAGACAATTTTTGGAAATAGCCCAAGTGTCCATCAATACATGAGTGGGTAGAAAAGCTGTGGAACATTTGCACAATGGAATACCACTAGGCTGTAAAAAAAGAGGGAAATCTTACCTTTTGTGACAGCATGGATGGACCTAGAGAGTATTGTGCTAAGTGAAATAAGCCAGTCAGAGAAAGACAAATACCATATGATTTCACTTACATGTGGAATCTAATGACCAAAATAAACTAAAAAACAAATTAGAAGCAGACTCATAGATACAGAGAACAGACTGACAGTTGTCAGAGGGGAGGGGGTTGTAGGGCTGGGTGAAAACATAAAGGGATTAAGCCAAAAAAAGGGGTGGGGGGAAGGAAAGGAAAGAAGAGAAGGGAAGGGAAAGGAAAGGAAGGGAGGGGAGGGAAGAGAGAGAAGAGAAGAGAAGGGAAGGGAAGGGAAGGGAAGGGAAGGGAAGGGAAGGGAAGGGAAGAGAAGAGAAGAGAAGAGAAGAGAAGAGAAGAGAAGAGAAGAGAAGAGAAGAGAAGAGAAGAGAAGAGAAGAGAAGAGAAGAGAAGTACAACTCACATGACCCAACTCCTGCTATGTGCAAGGAGGGGAAATCTGATGAGATTCTGGTACAGTTTCCCTCAAAGAGGAACATGCTTAAGGCCTTTCGGCTTCCTTACAGGGCAGCAGCATGTGTGTTTATAACGTGCTTTTCAACTTAGTGGGGTTTGTGTGTGTGTTGTTTTGTTTTTCACTTCTATCGCAATCATACATTTATTGCTGGTTTGCTCCCAGCCCTCCATATGGTTGCTGAGGGAGATCATCTGTAGGGGGAGGACTCGGAACTGATGAGGCAGTTGAGGGGCTCCAGCTGGGAACCTAAAATGTACCTACACTTCACAGACTGGGAGTGCTGGGGGGCAGAAGGAGGAGACACTAGAAAAGGGAAGGAGGGATCCAGGGGCTGTGCCCAATGTGGTCAGGGTCGAGTTGGGGCGGGGGAGGGGCGGGCTGCAAGGATCGCAGGTGGACGGATCCTGGGCTCTGGGGGAGGGGAAGGGTGGAATTGCACCTGGAGACCAGTGGAGACAGGGATTGGTCTTAGGGCAGTAGGATCCCCTCCCAGACCTGGCATATTCCACTTAATATCACTAAGTGGGCCCTAAAATTTTCATTAAGAAGTTCTTAACAAAAATGCCAAAAGGAAGCCTATTTCCATTATATTAAATAGGGAATATTATATACACATTAGCTCAAGACCCTAAACCAATTTCCTGAAATTTTACTAAAACTCGGTAAACTGTGTGTATGTGTATGTTTTTTTAAAACTATCAAGTTGCGATGTAAGATGCTTAGCATTACTTCCACATCATCGGCAGTTAAATTGGTTGTTAAATGCTGGCTTACTGGCCTCTCTTGCTGCTGGCAACAGTGAGGTGCACAACCTTTTGTTAGCACAGTTGACTTTTTGTTGTATCTTTTTATTTGTTTCATCCAGTTATATTGATTAATACGTGGAATATTTTTATCATTTGCTTTTAAGAAGGGAAATGAAAACAACAGCTGTGTCAGGAGAGCGTTTGGAAGCATATGGCAGAAGACATGAGAAAAGAGATGTAAACCATGAAAGGCTTCTATGTCTCGTGTAACAAGGCATCCTGGGCACGCCTCCTCTTGCCTCCTTAACTCTCTGCCAGAGAGCAGAGACTCTCATCTCCGGCTTCTGCAGCCTCATAGTTGCATGGTGTTTGCTGCGCCTCCAGGCAACACATCAATATTCCAGGCAGGAAGGGGCAGAAAAGGCCAAAGGAGGCAAGAAAATGGGCTCTGTTCCTTCTGTAAAAGCTTTCCTGGATGTGTCACCCGTGACTTCCACCGCATTCATCAGCCAGACTGGCTGGTACTAGACGGTCTGGGTCACGCGACTGATTTTTCCACACTTCTACACGTACCTCTGACCTACCAACTTTATTTGGGATCTAATGTGAAACTTTGTTCCCCAAGTAATTTTGTTTGAACTGTCCTATTGAATTTTAGGCGTATAGATATAATTTAATATAAACATTTGCCCCACAAGCATTGTTGTTGAGAGACACATATACTGTACACTATCAGGTTTGGGTATTATCATCTGACAGTCACTCTACTGGGAAACAGGCCCTGCCTGGTTACTGTGGAGGTTTTTCCTTACATACAACTCTACCTCGTCTCTGGCAACACAGTAAATAAGCCCTTCAGTGTGCCATACTTAATGTAAACTGTCCTATATTGTTGGACAGTTAAAATGCCTCCAGTTTTTCACAATTATAAACAAAGCTGCATCGAACATCTCTGTACAAACAGCCTTACCCACTTGTCCAATTACTTGTTTGAGAGGAATTAAATCCGTGAAATGAAATCTTGGGGCTGATGGCTCTGCAAATATAAAATTTTGACACCTACTGCCAAGTTGCCCTCCAAAAGGTTGTAGCAGCTCCACTACTTCTCCGTGGCTGGAGCAGTGAACATGCATCACAGGGCCACGCTGGCCCACCTCGATGGAGGGAGGATGGATGGCTCTGTGAGTGCAGCCTTTGGAAGCAGAGCTTCGTAATTCAGGTGCCAATTACATTTGGAAATGAGATTAGCACATGGAATCTTCCCATTCATCTCGGAGAGCTCCAAGGTTCCTGGGCAGAATGAAACAATAAAACAAAACCAGTGAAACGAAGTCAATGTGGACGCAGGACATTTACCCTGATCAATGTGCCCATTCAGAACGGATTTTCTGGGCAGCGTGCGTGGCTCTGACTTGAATGAACATCAACACCGCACTCAGCTGCAGTTCTTCCCCATCAGAGGCCCTCCCTAAACATGCCTGTTGATTCCACCAGCCTCTTCCTTAAAAGTACGTCATGGTGCCCCATCCCATGCATGTCCTTGAGAATGAGGCCCAATGTCCTAATAGAACAATTACTGTTGTTCACTAAATAATAATAATAATAATAATAATAATAATAATAATAATAATGACAGCATCAACAATCAGTAATATAAACGTTAGCATGTACATAATGGGGGTTTACTGTTTAATGGGTACGGAGTTTCAGTTTGGGGGGATGAGAAAGTTCTGAAGATGGATGGGGTGATGGTCGCACAACAATGTGAATGTACTTAATGTCTGAATTGAACACTCAGGAATGCTTAAGATGATAAATCTATGTTACATGTATTTTACAGTAGTATAGTTCAACTTGGAAGCTGTCACTCTGTCCTAACAAGTAAGAAGCTGAGTCAACTGAAAAATCAACAACTCTTCTTAGATCTGTAGGAGTGAGGCCATGGGGCAAACTGCGGCCTCCAAAATCAGAGAGACTGACAGGTGGATATAGAGATTCACAACGTACTGCAGCGGAAACCCCCACCGGAACCAGTGCCAGTGCCAGGGTAGGAAAGCCTGCGTTGTAACTGTTGAGTTCCTGGAGGCTCTCTGCAAATAAGACCAAGAGATAGACACTCTAGGGCAGCCGTGGGCAAACTACGACGGATCCACCCGTTTGAAATGAGTAAAACTAAAAAAAAAAAAAAAAGACCGTACCCTCTTATGTAATGATGTTTACTTTGAATTTATATTAGTTCACACAAACACTCCATCCATGCTTTTGTTCCGGCCCTCCGGTCCAGTTTAAGAACCCATTGTGGCCCTCGAGTCAAAAAGTTTGCCCATGGGGACACCGGAAGCCCCCGCACTTTTGTGAGTTTTACCTCCAGGAGTTTAACTAGGTTCTCACAATAAATGTTGTAATTTCATTGAAAATGGGAAAAAAATCTTTTCATGCCTCTGGTAGGGGGAGAGGAAATACACTCTACATTGAAATACACCAAAGCACTCTGTCCTGCCCACAGGAGGAGCTATTTACCTAATGGGGCTGTATCAGAGCCCAGCTGCGGGGGGCGGGGGGGGGGGGGGATACACCCACCTCCAGCCCTGGATAGCCACCCTGTCCCTCCCTCCAAGGGAGGGAAAACTGAGAGGTGCTGTGACGTTCACGGCCCAGAGGACACAGGGTCACTGAAAGACAGACTTAATCAGAGGACAGGACGCTTCCCCTCCCCCTACACCTTACCATTGCAGCACTACAGTCCCATTTACCAGAGTTCCTTTTCTTTTTTTTTTAATTTCAGAGAGAGAGAGATAGAAACATCAACGATGAGAGAGAATCATCAATAGACTGCCCTCTGCATGCTCCCTACTGGGGATCGAGCCCGAAACCCGGGCATGTGCCCTGAATGGGAATCGAACTGTGATCTCCTGGTTTATGGACTGACACTCAACCACTGAGCCACACTGGCCGGGTCGGAGTTCCTTTTATGCAGTATGGTTTCCAACAAAAAATTATAAGGCATACTAAAAGGCCAACACAGCTTGAAGAGACAGAGAAAATATCAGAACCACGCTCTGATATAGCAGGAATGTTGGAATTATCGGATTGAAAATTTAAAATAACTATGATTAATATGCTAAGAGCTCTGATGGGAAAAGTAAACAATATGCATAAACAGAGAGGTAATATAAGAAGAAAGATGGAAATCCTAAGAATTTCTTTTTAAATGTTAGAGCTTACAACCTGTTAACAGAAATGAAGTAGTCTTTTCCTCCCATGAAGACTCACAAAATGAAGAATTCTCCAAAGAAAGCAAAGGGGTTCCTCAAATAATAATGTATATTCCACTTAGCATGTAGACTAGGGCTGAACTGACTTACACACCTCACACCCTTCTCCTGACAGGTGCCAGCATCTGGTGCTGAATCTAAGAGTCAGGATGTTGCCTTGACCTCCAATTCCCTTGACCAAGTTCAAGTTCAAGTGCATAGTATTCCGAAGGGCCTCCATCAATAAGCTCAGCCCTACTGGGTAACCTAAAAACAGAGCCAAAAAGAGTTTTAGTAATTGCCCTGTCTTCCCCTTTTTCTTTTTTCAGACAGCTCGCTCTGCCTTCTGCTGAGCTTTGAAGTATAATTCAAAGACCTAAGCTGATTTACTCCCAACTACCTACCAGCCCAGCTCTCAGCCCCATTAACAAGCACTTTATCCCGAGACTGGGCAAGCAGGTGCTGCCACAAATGATCACCGGGCTCTCCAGCCAGGCTGTTGGGAGGAGAGGGGATTTTGCATACGGAGGCAGCAGACACATCCCTCTGAAGGAGATGAGGGAGGTGTGCACAGGTCTGGGGAGGTGCCAAGGAGTCACCCAACCCAAACGGAGGTTGGTGGGTCAGGATTTTTCTGGAAAACCTTTTCTTTCAGACGAGCCTGGAAAGTAGATTAGGAATGAACTCCACCAGTACAAGCTGACTGTGAGCTTTGCCAGCGGGAATGGGATTGAGGAGGGTTTCACTGTACTGCACCTGACTTCACACGAAGCCCCAGATGTCATGACTGCAGGCCTTTTCTCTGGGGCTATTGGGTTTCTTCATAAAATGAAGCTCCAGTCCACTGCTGGGGGTGGGGAGAATGCTGGTTAATGAGACTACGTGTAGATATTCTGGATTCTGCTAGGAATAGCCTGGGGTGTCATCATTTAGGGGGCAGCTTTTTAGTGTCTAGTGCAGCCCCCACCACACCCCCACCTCCCCCCTGTGTTGGGACTGTGATTGCTAAATCTGGAGGCTCTCTGGTTCAAATTCTCCAGAGATTAACCACTTGGTGTCCTCTGAGGAGAGAAGTGCCTGACTACATGGCGAAATTCGCCATGACAAGGACCTCAGTCAATCCTACTGTTCGGGAGCCTGCTTTACGGCCACCTCCTGCAATGCCGGTTCTGCCCATTCCTCAGCCTTCTGGGATTCTGGGGTGACTCAGCTGTTCCTCAATATATGCGCCTCCTTAGTCAGGAGAGTCGGCCCTCCTCCACTCTGCCCAATTGTTTGTCATTCCCGGCCCAGTTCCTGTCTTCATTTATTGTTTCAGGGTCAGAGCTGTCTTCCTGGTTTCACCGAAGATGGAGAGGGTGTTGCATGTTCTCCTTATTGTTTGGAGTGGATTTAATGGAGAGAGAACAGGATAGAAACAAACTCAGCCATCCTTGAGTACCCTTACCACCACAAAACCATACACTTAAAAGTGGTTAAGGAGGTCAGTTTCATGGTATGTGTTCTTTTACTGCAATTAAAAACAAAACAAAACCCAGCCATCTTAAAACCAGAAGTCTTCCCATTGGGGTTTTCTGTGAATTTTGAAACACAAACACAATAAGCCATTTCCTTGAGAATCTATGACATGTGGAAAGTGAATATCTTGACTTCCATAAGGTCTATTGAGACAGTTATTGGAAATAGCGAGAGCAGTGAGTGGTTCTCAGAGTGGCCTGCAGACCAAACGCGTCAGCATCCCCCTGGAAATTTGTTAAACACACATTCTGGGTCTTAAACCAGTTCCACTAAATCAAAAGTTCTGCAATCTGTATTTCAAGAAGCCCTCCACAACTAAATATTGAGTATCTGGAAATTTGTGGTGGTTGATACATCAAGAACCACTCATCTAGAGCAGTGGTTCTCAACCTTCCTAATGCCTCGACCCTTTAATACAGTTCCTCATCTTGTGGTGACCCCCAATTTCATTGTTACAAATTGAACATAATTAAAGCATAGTGATTAATCACAAAAACGATATGTAGTTATATATGTGTTTTCCGATGGTCTTAGGCGACCCCTGTGAAAGGGTCGTTCAACCCCCAAAGGGGTCGCGACCCACAGGTTGAGAACCACTGATCTAGAGCGATATGGGGGGAGAGAATGAAATCAAATAAAGGCTGAACATCGAAGGGTGGGTCCTCATAACATGGAGAAAAGGTCAAGGAAACCATGAGAGGGGAGAGAAGGTCATTCTTTGAGTGCCTACCATGTGTCAGCTACCATGCCTGCCAGTTTGCATAGTTTTCTCAAAAAGAAAGAATTATTTCCCCCATTTTACAGATTGGAAAACTGAGGCTTTAAAAAGGTAAGTAACTTAGCTATTTAAGAAGAATTTCAACCAAGGTCTGCCTGAGTCCTAGGTCCTTCTCTTTATCTTCCACACTTCCCTCTTTCAAAATGAACCTCCTCACTGAGAATATCACCAGCCATGGAAGACTGAGAAAAGGAAACAAGGTTTCTCCTCTGCTTGGTAAAATTCTGATCATTCTCCAAGGCAGAACTCAAACGTCACCTCCTCTGGGAAGTCTTCTAGGACTGCCTTGCTCAAAGTCAACCTTCCCACGGCACTTTGCACTCACCTATCTTGGAGTGCCCCTCATACACCTCATTGGAGTTTTCAAATCTTTGGTTCCAGGATCCCTTAGAAATTACTGGCATTCACAGGCAAATGAACCTTGATCTAAACTTCACGAACTATACAAAAAGTTAATTCAAAATGGAGTAAGGATTATATGTAAATGTAGCACTATAAGACTTTTAGGGGGAAAAAATAATAGAAGCAATTCTTCAGATCCTGGGGCTGTGGGAAGACACCAAACGCAGAAATCCATAAAAGAAAGAAAAAAGAGATAAGTTGAATCATTCAAAATGAAAACCTTTTGCTCTAAAAGACCCTGTGAAGAGGACAAAAACACTGGGAGAAAATATTTGCCAACTACTTCTAACAAAGGACGTTCTAGAATACATTAAAGAACTCCCAAAACTCAAGAG